ATATTTAATTATAAAAAAATAGTCTGTTATTTTATTTTTTATAAATATTATTTTAAATTTATAAAGCTATTTTAAAAATACTTTTAGATTTATTTTTTTATAAATAAATCTAATTGTTATAATTTATAATTATTTAATTTTTAGTTTTTTTATAAAAAGCTCTATTATAATAATATATTATATTTTAATTTATTATTTCTTATAAAATCTTAAATAATACTGATTAAACTCTATAATAAAAACTTTTATTTAGATTTATAATATATTTAATATAATTTTCTCTATATTAGATATTATAATAATAATTTTTTTATAAATCTTATAATTATTTTCTATATTTATAAGATTAATCTTAAATATTATAATTTCTTTTAACTAAATATTATTATTATTTAATAATCTCGCGAAAATCTTCGCGGATATTATTAATTATTTTATAATTTTTATTATTATAATAAATATTAGATTTACTTTTATATTTATATTAATTAAAATATTAATCTTTTTAAGCAGATTAGTCTTATTTTATATAAATAATTATTCTTATAATTTTAAAATAAAATATATTATAAGAAGTATATCTGCTAATTTTTTATAATTTATTTAAATTATAAATTATTTCTTAGAGTTTTTATTTTTATATTAATAATAATTCTTTATAATATAACCTTATTTTTTATAATTAAAATATTTTATTATTTTTACAGATACTGATATAAAATCTTATAGAATAAATATTTTTAATATATTTAATTATAAAATATTTTTTTATAAAAATCTCTTATAATAACTCTGATTATTAGATTATTTTATTTAATTTATAAATAATAATAATTTTCTTTTATGAATAATCAGTCTTCTTGCTTTATTAGTTAATATTTAATCTTAATTTTATAAATAATATAATTAGATCTTATTTAATAATAAAAAAATTCAGCTATTTATAGATCTTTTGTTTTATATTTTATAAAAATAATTTAAAAAATCAATATAGCTATATAATATTTAGTTCTTATATTTTATAATTTAACTCTATTTTTATTTTTTTTAAATATTATAAATATAAAAAGTTCTTTTTTTTTATAGAAGATTATTTTTAGAATTTATAATTATATTTTTTATTTATAATTCTCTGAATTATCTAGCTATATCTTAAAAAATTTATAAAAATCTATTTAATTATTTTCTTAAAAAAACTTTATAATTTTATTTTTTTATAAATTATTAAATATATAATTTAGATAAATTACTGTAATTTATATTTATTAATTTTTATTTTAATTATTAATCTCCGCGGTAGACTCCTGCTGGAATAAATAATTAAAAAATAATATAATTATAAATACTATAGTATTTACTATTCTATAAAGAATATATATATATATTAGTTTTTTTTAATTTTATAGATAAGATATCAGAATTACTTAGAGATTTATAAATCTTTTTATTATTTATAAAAGATTTTTAAGTCTCTGCTTTAATTCTATAATTTATTAAAATATATTTAATTATTTATAAAGATTTTTAGAGAATAATAGAATTATATTTATTTTAATTATTTTTTTTATAATAATTTTATAATTAATCTTTAGAAAATCAGAAGAATTCTTATAGATATAATATCTAATATTTTATATAAATATAATTTTAATAAATTATCTCGCGGGTTTTAAATAATAAGATTATAAGAATATATATTAAAATAATATAAAAAAAATATTTTTATTATAAAATTAAGATAATATTTATATTACTTAAAGTATTATTACTAGTCTTTTATCTAGCTTCTCTCGCAAATAAATATATTTATAAGAATTTTATAAATTATATATTATACTAGTATAATTACTTTATAAAAAGATGTCTTTATAGTATAAGCATTTCTTATAATATATTATATCACAAGGATTATAAGGATTACTATCCTTATAATTATATTAATTTTAAATAAAATAATTAGATAGATTTATTATTTATTATAAAATTTATATATAATAATATCTTGCAAGTCTTTATAAAGAAATTATATTTTTATATTATTATAATAAAATATCTATAAATAATTAAAATAAATTCTTATAAAAAGAGAAAAGTAAAAATTAAAATTTTTAAATAAATTAAATATATTTAGAAAATTTATATTAAAAAAGAAATCTAATTTTTATTTATAAAAAATAAAAATAATTTTATAATTATAAAAAGCTAATAAAAAACTTTATATTAAAAAAAATAATTTAATTATTTATAAAATATTTTTTATAAAAATAAATTAGTAAGAAACTAAGTCTATAAAATAAAGAATTTTATTATATTATTAAATAAATAAATTTATAAGTCTATAGACTGGAGTTATTTTTAAAATTATAAATATATAATATATTCTATATATTATTATTTTATAAATATTATAAAATAAATAAAATAGACTTATAAGAGTATTTTTTTATACAGAAAAATAATTATAAATATTATTCAAAGATCTTATTAATCTCGCGGAGTTAAAATAGATTCTTAAAAGATTTAATTAAAAAAAGAATTATTCTAATAATAATAATATCTAAAAATCAGTTATAAATCTATATTATCTATAACTCTATAAAAGATTTGTCCGCGAGTATAGTTTTTATTCAAAAAATAAAAGAAAAGATAAAACAGCCGCAAGAGTAAAACAGCCGCGAAAGTATAAAAAAGCCGCGAGGGTATAAAACAGCCGTAAAAGTATAAAAGAAATATAAGAGTATAAAATAGTTATAAGATTATAAAACAGCTGTAAAAGTATAAATAATTATAAGGATTTTTTATTCAAGTATTTATTTATAATAATAATAATAATTAAAGAAAGAGGGCCGCAGAGTTTAAGAAAAAGAGTGAAATTAAAAAATAAAAAAAATTAAAATAAAATATATTTAAAAAGAATATTTTTTTAGAGCTTTAAGTCTCAAGTTTTAAGTTCTAATTTATATTTAAATTAAAAATATTATATTATATTTACTATTTAATTATAATTATAAAAATATTTATTATATTTATTATTTATAATATTTATTATTTAATTATAATTACAGAGACTTAAAGTATAATAAATAATAATATAATTAAAATTATATAAAATAGCTGTGACAGGCTTATATAAAATAAATATTATAAAAAAAAAACTATTTTTTTAATTAATTTTTTTATAAAAAAGTTTTTATAACAGAGATTTTAATAATATCTAATCTTTTATAAATAATAATTTTGAGAATTAAGATTTTAAAAAAAGAAATAATTATAAAAATAATAATTCTTATAATTCTTATAATATAATATATTATAAAAAATATTTATACTGCGGAGATAATTTCTTACAAAATAATTATATTAATATAATATATAATTTATAAAATTCTTATAAATATATCTGTTTATAAGAGAAGCTATATAAAAGACTAGTAATAATATTTTAAATAATATAAATATTATCTTAGTTTTTTAATAGATATACTTTCTTTGTACTATCTTAATATATATTCTTATAATATTTATTATAAATCTATATTGTTTATAGTTCCATAAAATATTTATCTGCGAGAATAGTCTTTATTTAAAAATAAAAAGAAATAAAAGAATAAGATAATAAAAAAGCTATTTATAAAAAGATATTTCAAATTGTAGATAGTATATAAAATATAATAAATAATTTTAAAAATAAGAAATAAATAAATTAACTTCTTTCATTTATAATAAAATTCAAATAAAATTTAATAGAATTATTATATCTTTATCTATAATTATTATTACTATATATTATATATGTTTTAAAGGCTGATAAATTGTGATGTATATAATATATATCTAAGTAAATAAACCTCTGTAGTCTAAGTTATAGGAAATATTTTATAAAATTAGATCTAGATCTCTAGTTACTAAAAAAAATTTTATTCAATAAAATATATAAACTATATTACTAATTATATAATTTAGTATCTTTTATAATTCAATAAAGCCTATATATGTATCTAAACAAAATCTAAAAAATATTATTTATATATATATATATATATATATATATATATTAGTAAATAAGTTCTGTGCAGATAGATTTATAAATTTAATTTAGATTTAATTTATAATTTTATTATTTTTAAAAGTAGATTAATCTCAGACAACTCTAAATATATATTTTTTTAAAATAAATAGTCTATAGATTTATAGTTTATATTTTATAATTAATAAAAGTAATTAAAATATTATTTAAAATAATATTTTTTCTATAATAAATAATAATACAACAATAATCATAAAAAATTAGACTATTTAAAATCTTTAATAAATAAATTTATCTAGAATCTAGATTAGCTCTATATATACTATAAAAAATAAATATCTATTATAAAGATTAAAGAAGAAGCTAATATAGAAATAATAGTCATAATTTTTATAATAATTATAATAATAATAATAATAATAATATTTACAGACTTCTTATCTATTAAAACTGTATAAAATTTACCATATGAATAAATAAGAAGAATAACACTGGTTATTATTTTAGAAGAACCTGGCTATAATTATAAAGAAATAATAATTGCAGAGCTTCGCTCTGCAATGTCTATACATAAAAAGGGCGGAAAAACCCGGGACACAGAACACCTTTTGATTGGAAAGAGTAAAAGCCCTAGCCCTGGTGTCGTCACGTAACAAGACCCTTATTAGTAATTGTATTACTCTAGTTAACTATTCTGCCTGCCTGTGTGGCTTCAATCTGTCTGTATTGCTTCAATCTGCTTATATGACTTCAACCTGTGTGGCTTCAACCTGCGTGGCTTTAATCTGTATAGCTTAGTATTATATAGCTTGGGATCAGATGGCTCCGCTCTGCACGCCTTCTAGGCGACCTTAGTCGTCTAGCCCCCTAGTAGATTAGGTGAGTGACAGCCGAGCCAATTGGCACGCGGGCCTGGGCCTAAGATCCCTGGATATAATTTGACTGGCTACAGGACCTATGAGGCCTGTCATCGCTACATAAACTGGCTGCGCACTGCAAGTAGTGCAACATATAGATCCTAATTTGCCAAGTACAAATACTAATTTCCTAAAGATATAGCGGAGCTGGCAGAGGCTATCTAAAGACCGCTGCTAGGCCTAACTAGGACGAACCTGCCAACGGAACATAGCAGTAACTTGAAAGGGCGGCCATCACAGGTGTGGCTCCATATGAACATTAGACAGGGCGAAACTATATAGAAAACCAATAATTGTATGCAACAAATTCCCTATTTCTATGCTACACCACCTAGGATCATAATCCACGCCTCACATTCTGCACAAATCCAACGATAAGAGACTCGGTTTTGACAATGAATATCACACGCGCAACTGTGTAAACTGATACTGGGTTGTTGGTAGTCGATCAAATCATCTTGTTCAGAAAAAATATTTGACCGAACTCGGACTCTTGAACCCATACTGTTCGTATTTTGAAAACGCGAAAAAGTCGATCATGACGAGTAAAATTACCGTCTATACCACATACGTGTGATTCTTGTGTGTCTCATTTTCTTTTGAAGTTGAAAGATCCCATACATCAATGCCTCGGATGTTGGTGGGCCTGGGGTACTCGTTAGCTTTTTTACAATGATTCACAGGGGATATACGAACACCCAGGAACATAGACGTCAACGGGCACTATTCTATCACATCCCCGAACAACCGAGTAACTGTAGTGATAATAGCCACCACCATTCGCACAGCTACCCATGCTGACAACCCAGCGCGGATCAGGCATTTGGTCGTAGACTTGCCTGAGAGCCGGAGCCATCTTATTCGTCAGGGTGCCTGCAACAATCATCACATCCGACTGCCGCGGAGAAGCTCTGAAGATAATGCCCAGGCGATCCTGGTCATATCTAGGGGTTGAAAGATGCATCATTTCGACTGCACAACAAGCGAGACCAAAAGTCATGGGCCATAGAGAACTTTGGCGGGCCCAATTAGCAACTTGATCGAGCGTAGTTCTGGAGGAAAATCAGCGTAAATAGACCAAAATACATCGGTAAGATCCATTCTAGGCTACGAACAAGACATATTGCATCGCGCCCTCCTTTTTCTCCTGGCTCGGTAAAGGCACCTCCTTCCGCACCTTTCCAGAAGCAGTGAGCGGATGACCGGGCTGCCCCCGCTGCTCAATTGCTGTTGCGGATTTGATTGACGATGTTGAGATGAAAGACACTGGCTGGAAACGGAAAGAATATGGGTTGATGTATGCCCGCGCTACCTAATATTAGCAGTTAGCCTTGACAAGTGCTGGGCAGACCTACCATGAAGAGCGCTTGGGATAGCGCCTGGAATGGCGCGACCGGTGAGAAATAGCATGATCAGGTTTCTTCCAATATCGGCGCGGCGGGAGCAGGAATGAAGCCTCTTATAGTGTGATAACCACGTTATTAATCAATGAGTTGAGGTTTTATGTGCCGAAAACAGTGATAGTGGCAATGTGATAATGTAAGAGGACTTGAGTTAGAGCATTATTGTGCATTAGTGGTAGTAATGGTTCGCCCTCTTCATATTACCGTAATATAACATGATGAAAGCGGGAACTTTCTGTGGGAGTGGCACAAATATGTATCATACTGTACCAGAAATTGGTCAATCAAGTGCTCTCAATCATATGTTCTGTTGATTAAGATTCTAAACAATGTTATTGGCTGGAGGCCATGATATGAATGCAAATTACACAGTTTCCACAGTTTGCACTACCAATATGTATGTAAGTAAGGTATCTCATTCATGGTAGTATGAGTGCACACACGGCGGTACCATGTACTACCGGGTACCTACTGTAACCTCTGCGTAGGTAAGGTAGGTAATAGGTAATAGCTACTTACCTGGAAGTATGACATAGTGGGCAATTTCTCGAAGTAATTTATAGATACATAAGGAGTCATGACATACCTAGTCGACTACAACGATCACCATACTGTGTCTTAGGTTTGGGTCAGGTCTAGATACCTACATACCGTGTACATAGGTAGTCTTGATGGAATAGCCTGAGCCTAGTAGTATGACTTATCTGATACTCGCCACGTGTGAGTAGATATAGTTAGCTGTGGGGGTTCGGAATTACTCAGAACTACGGAGTTGGTGCAATTACTCGACGGATGAAGCGTTGTCGAGCAGGTTCAAGTCAATCCACTCGGGCATCCAAATTTTTAAAACTACCTGCCTGAAACTTGAAGCAGGATAACCTTGTACAGTTGAGGACCTGACAAAGAAATGGGGGGGGCTAAGATCGCTTGTATTGGTGTTATTGGGAAAGCTGTAAGTTGCTTCCTCTGCTGTATATAAACAATCACGAAGTCTAATGTGCATATCAGGATAACCCACTCCATGTATCTTTATTTCCGCCCTATCTGAATTCCGCTGTTGAATTCTCTTTCCTTTTAAACTCCTGCTTAGATGTTTTCGAAATACGGCGCAAACACACATCTGTTGACCAAGACCTTGGTCTTTTGCATGCTGTAGATGAGAGATTGGCGGCCTATGGCTGGCTTACAACCACTGGCGTGAAGCTGCTAGTCATAATCGATTGTGTCGGTCAGCCTATGACAGACGGAGAACCTAGAACGAATACAGCAGCTGGCATAAGAGAATCGGACCTGAAATCGGTTCGTTCGCCTATAGAATCGCCTGAAATTTACCACTTACTACACTGCTTGCGGAATATACTGACCTTGAAGCAACGGCTTAATTTTACAGGTTTTCCGAGGCCTGCAAAGTGCTTACGTACAATTACTGCAAAATCCGTTCTATAATCCTGACGAGCATGTGGGCGTGTCTAACACAACCTCACCTTACAATTCGCAGATCACAGACCAAAAGTTTGTTACGGAAGTTAAGCGAATAGGTGTCTCCTGGTCTCCTGGTATACCTACTTATTAGTATGTGACTCCTGTACTGTGGTCTTACGCGGGGGCAATATAGGTGGCATTGATGACAGTATGAGACATTTTCGTCATATCGGTTGCTCTTACATTTCCTCTGTCATAAACTGAAAGACTGTGAATCAAGACCATATGTGCACTGATATTGGAGTAGGGATCTCTCTCTGTATGTAGGGAATCCGGCAGCTTTACCTATACGCGGTGTTGTGGAGAGGTTCTGCAACTTATGAAGATTAATATATTATAATACATCTATTTATTATATTTCACCTTCTGTCATAGATAGCTCGTGTATATAGCACGGCAGAGTAATCTGCTGAGAAGGATTATTACTAGTAAAAATAGCAGATAGTTCTAGACTATATATTGTTGTACTATTAAATTGTAAGAATAGCAATCCTTATAATCCTTGTAATATATTATAACTATCACAAGAAAAACTTATACTGTGAAGACAGTATCTTAGTGTAAGGGAATGTCCACAGGATATGCGTATTTACAAGGGTCAAGCCCACCTCCTCCTGGGTGTACTTGAGTATATATATGGGATTCTAGGGGTCCGCAGGTAACTGCGGGTAATGTTAGCCTTTTGGCTCAGTGACAACAACTCCACTAGGTTGGTGTCTTAAACTTACAAAGATATTATCTTAATAGATACTTAATATATTGTATTAAAAGTTATAATCAAAATTATTATTATTCAATTATGAAAAAGTATAAAACATCAGATTTAAGACTAATAATAATAATTATAATAATAATAATAATAATAATAATAATAATAATCATGAAGATATAGAAAGCAATCACACAAGGCGACAGGAAACAATGAGTTGATTCAGAGAACAGGGGCCAGAAATCCTGATATCTAAAATAAGAGATATAGTTATATATTCTAAAGTAATTATTATTAATATATTTTTTAATTATAATCTCTGAAGCTCTGCAGATTATTTAACTAGATAATATATATAAAATTATAATAAAATAATTATAAAAAAAATTATTTTTTTAATTCTTAATTACTGCTCTATCTCTTTAAGATAAAATTTTTTTTAAATATTTTAAATTTTATTATTTAAAGAGATTTAATTAATTTATTTATTATATTTTTTTTAAGAAAATTTAGCAGAACTTAATCTATTCTTATTTTTAAATATTTTTAATAAATTAAATATAATTATTAAGCTATTTAATAATTAAAATATAGCTTTTTTATAAATTAAATTAATAATATTTTAATAATTTATATAGACTAAGATAGAATTAGATATTAATATATTAAATATCTTAATTAATTATTTAATTTATAGATCTTTTTTAATAATCTTTTTATATATAATTAACTTAGTTAGAATTAAGAATTTAATAATAATCTCTTATTTTTTATTTAATTAATTAATTAATAATTTAATAAAAAAATAATAAATATTTTTATTAATTTATAATTTAAATAATTCTGATATATTATATTATATTATATTTTTATAAAATTAATATACTTTAGAATTAAAATAAGATTATATTTATTATTTTTAAAATAATAAAGAATATTTTTTATAATTATTATATTATATAATATCAGACTTCAGTAATAATATTATAAGTAAAAAATAAAATATATAATATTAGATTTTATATATATTAATAATTAATTTAGTTTATTTATTATTATTATATAATTTTAATATTATTATTATTATATTTCTAATTTTTAGATCTGAATTCTTAATATTTAGAATTTATAAAATAATTTTTTAATAATATCTTATTTATATTATAATATTTTAAAAATCTTTAATATAGATATTCTAATTTATAATAATAATTTTTTTTATAATATTTTTATTAATATTATAGTTAAGAAAGCAAATTAAAATATTTAGATATTTTATTTTAAAGTTCTGGCTTAAATATTTATATATCTAATTAATATTAGTCTTTATATAATTTATAATAATAAAATTATTAATATATAATATAATTAGACTTAATTCTTAAAAATAAAAATAAAATTTTTTAATACTATTCTTAAAATTAAGTGTCTGTAGTTATTTATTAAAAGTTTTATTTTAAAAATAATCTATTTATTTTAAGCTATATAATATATATTTAATAAAATAAATATTATTATTTTTCTTAAATCTGATTA